ATTTTAATAATATACGTGTAAGATTCATTTTAAAAGAAAAAGTAGGAAGTTATATTGGTTGGTGAGAAAAATCTTATGTTATACAATCATAAATGATCAATGTATTTTAAACTTTATGTGTGCATAATCACGTCGAGATAAAATAAATAAATAAATAAGTTTGGCAAAATTGTTAGAACGGGGTATCAAAATATTAATTCAATGGATTGAGTTGTTGGAATTAAATTTATGTAAAAATATTCTTAAATAAAGCAACTAATCATCACCATTATTAAAAAATATTCTTAAAGAATAACTTAATCTTCATAGTCATCATCACCATTATTATATATGAACTCATCTTAACTTATATATAGGTTCTACTTCATTGATTTCTTTTATCAATGATTATGAAATTTTTTTTTTCCTTTTTAAACTGAATCCCTCCTGGTTTTTAAAAGAACCAATTCCTCTTTTAGTATAAGGCTTAATTTAATTACAGTCACTATACTATTTAATTATTTCCCCCAATTTAACTCAAACTCTACGCGCTACGTATGCATATAGCATATGCCCTCGAATAGTGACCTATATATCAGATATGTTTTTAAATATTATTTGTTTGTTTTTATTTTTTTAATTTCACTGGTCGTAAAAATTGTCCTAAGATACGGGATTCACCGGTTGGTAATTTTAAGTTTGATTTTCATTTATATTAAAATAATATTTAATCAACTAAAATTACATTTTCCGAATATAGATTAATGTTTTATTATTATTAATTTTGAAAAACGTTTATATATGTATATAAGTTTTGTACTTAACCTTAAAAGGGAATTTTGCTCAAACATTTTTTTTTTAATGATGGTGTACCTTATCAAATTTCGATTATCCTAAATATTAAAAGATGGTGGCCCCGCCTAGGTATATGAACTTATTCTCCATTTCTACCGGGATCAAGTTTAAAAAAACGAAAGAAAACCTGATTGGGCTGATGAAGTTATATTATAAAAGAAAGCACATAATTTAGATACCCATGCGAATTGTTCAACAATGAGGAAAGAAAAGAAGGGTGAGGAATTTTGTGATAGAACAGAATATGGTTAAAGCTAAAGGATAACTATTTGTTTGCTTATCAGTTTGTTAGGTTTATGCCTAACTTCGATTATAAATGATGGAATGGGGGAACTTGCATTGATTTTGAGAATAAAGTGCTAAACATTAGGAATGTTGGATCAATTCTCCCACAAGGCCATTTTAAGAGAATTTTCTTGTCATATTCCTTTATATATATATTATGTTATTGGTAAAAAAAAAAAATATCAACTAATTGTTATTGAAGAATCTATCTGACTATTTTTAATGAATTTTTTTATCTTAATTATGTTTTTATTTATTTATAAGAATTAAATTTAAAATATTTTTTTAGATGATCAAATTCAATATTATTCATATCAATTTGCTGTTAGTATTATCATATTCTATTTTATCAACAATTAAAAAAGACAAAAGTCTTATTAAAGAATCAAACTAATGATCAGATGAGGATTTGAACTTAATTTAATGTCTAGGTTTATATAATTTGAAGTAATCTCCCATTTGTGTCCTTAGTTTTATCCTTTGTGCGTTTTTTTCAATATGATTTAAGAGAAAGAAAGTTAGTAAAATTAGATTTTGGTATAAGATTATTTTTTAAATATGTGCCCTTAAATCTACTCCTTTTTAAGTGCTAGATTTTTACAAACTTTTTGTTCATTTCTATTTGTTATTTTTTTTTATAGACATTATTCACATGAAAATTAAAGACTAATTTACACTTGCGAGACATGATTTTCATTGATCAAATATTATTTTAACACACTATTTTTTTCAATTTGTCATTTAAAAAGGTTAAAACAATATCAATTATAGCATTAGAGAGAGAGAAAATGAAGAATAATAAATATTGACATGGATATTAATCAGGAAGATAAACAAAAAATACAAAAGAAAATAAAATAATAATTTCAATAATAACAATAAATTTAATTTCATTTTTAATACTTTGTTACAACTTTAAATAACAGTTAAAAATAAATGGCCAAATTATTTTATCTAATGGTATGAAATATGTATAGGTACATATGCAATATTGAAAAAGTTCAAGTAAATAATAACTTGATACATTTTTTTATTTATCAAAATTACATACATAATATTAGGATTTGAATGTTAAATTATGTGTATTGAAGTCAATTTCTTTATTATTATAATATTAGGATTTGAATGTTAATATAACAATTCGTTCGGATCGTTACATTAAATGAAATTACTATAACTAGTAGCAGAAACTAATTTACTAAGATTATAAAAGTTTAACTAAAAAATATATGAACATACATAGAATATAAATATAAAAGTGTCATCATTATACTGATATAAGTCATACGCATGTATATATAATAATCCCAAAAATAAACTATATAACTTAATATCGGTCGAGCACACTTGTATAAGCTACACAAAGTAACTCTACAGCCTTGATTTATTCTCATAGACAATAATCATTGCAATCCAAATTACATAGAAAAAAAAAAAAGGTATGTTAGAGTTCAAAAATATATAAACATAAAAACAATTTTATATCATACAACATCATACTATAACCATATATGAAAGTTAAATACTCAAAGACAAACATGTATCTTATCCAAACCATGTCAAACAAGATATTCATCATTGCACATGATCACACCGCATCATACATCATATGCAGACACCTTAACTGATGCGTTGTGATGCATTTACTTACAAATATCTCCTAATAACATGAACAATCTAAGTGATTCCACCTTACTAAATCAACCTAATTGTTTTCGCACTCAAAGTGCTAGTTCAATCATAGCAAAATGGGATATCAATCCCTCCTATAGTTTTTCATGTATTATTAGTTACATTAGAAAAATCTTATCCAACTGTTAGAAATAGTATAATTGGATATAAGTTTACCATAAACTTTACATGCATACATTAAAATTCAAACAAATAATAAAATTATGTTAACGCCTAACTGTCAATGTATAAACAAAAATAAAGAACTGATAAATTAATATTAATTATAAAAGATAAATAATTAATATTTAATCATCTTGCACATTATAGAAAATTAATCAATGATACTAAAGTAAAGTTAGATATTTTGAGTTAAAATTTTTCATCATATGAAATACATTTGTTATAAACTCTCATGTCTATTAACTAGAATTTCATTTATGCGTATATTTATCAAAGACGTGATAAAACATATCTCACTAAATAGATATCATTACTAACATTTCAAGTAATCTTAATATTTGTTTTATTTAATTTACATCAGTGAAATATTTAATTTTTAAAAATTAACTTTTAAGATGTTTAAAAATAAATAATCAATTCTTTAAATTTACATTGAATCAAGCATGTTAATAGTGAATTACTAAAAAAAAACATTTTAATATTATAATTTCTTTGTGTACAGAATATAATTTAATTTCTTTAATAACTTAATTAAAATGCAGTAATAATATAGTTTTTTATATTAAAATCACAAATGTGTATAATAAATTTATTGATTTTTATCATAACTACTTTAAAACTAATATCTAAAATAAATTTTGATTGATTGGCAAAACTCTAAAACGAAAATAAAACATAAATTGGTTAAAAGACATTTTTATAGTATGAAAAGACATAAATTGGTGAAAAGATATTTGAAAGTATTTTGTTGGGCAAAGTTTTCCTAAATACTTGCATTGAGTTGGAAACCAAGGTCTCCAGATGGAAGAAAACTTATACTGGAATGATATCGAATCTTACACGAAATGAGGGCAGAGATTATTGATTTTGGCCACCCAAAAATACAAGCATAAATTTATGAACTCAAGCGTATATATTGACATGATTGGAATATATGGGAAGGTGAATACGTAGGAAAATTAAGAGAATAGGGACCAGGGAGCAAACGATTGTAAACTTCTTAAGATTGATTTGTTGGATAAGAGTCAATTTACTTTTGCTCAAACTTCAGAAAGATTTGTAAATGTTTCTCGCCAGATTCTTACATCGTATAAGCTGCATCAGTTAGAGGGACAAAATTAGCAGCTAATCCAAAACCAAAAGTAAATTTCAATACTAAACCAACTTGGAGGAAGAAATATCTCCAAATTTCAAAAGACCATTAAATACAGAGGTCAGTCTAGAAACAGAAATCTACTAAAGGAGTAGCCCGTTAATATAAGAAGTGCTTATAATTTTGGAACGATATTTTTGATATGGGAATCACCATTATGCTAGGAAGGTACTGAATTCTATCTTAAAAAGTTTATCGGTATAAAAGTATATCCATAGCTCAAGAAGTCTCATCATGATTTTGAATAATTTGTCACATTATAGAACAATTAAAAAGAAATTACAAACACAGGAAAAAAAAAAATGAGAAAAAATGTTAGAAATTGCTTACATATCGAGAATCTCCACTGATGGCCAACGAAAAACCATTGTCCATCTGATCTGTTATGTGATTCTTGTTGTCATACTATATTGACCTATGTAATACTCAACTGCTGAATATCAAATATAGATGTAAAGCATTAAATTTTCAAGACTTCTTCAAGTTTGTGGTTTATTGTTGATGCAAAAGAAAATACAATCCGTAACATACAAAGAACAAACTAAGATACAGTTAAGTTAAATATCAAGCTCCTTACCATTTCTTCAAGAGAATCAAATTAATATATCAATTATATGTTCAACCCTCAAAGTTGTACATAGAGAACCAATAAAGACAACCAGATACATTAAGAGTTTGGATAACCTATAACCCAATGGTTAAACATGAGTATGTTATATAATATAGATGAACTATGTTAGATAACAGAAACTGAAGCAGTAGCAGGCCCAATAACGATTTAAGATGATAATAAAACGTTGTTTGCAATTTAAGTAGTAGTCAAACCATTAAAAATCGCAACCAAAAAAAAAACATTAAAAATCAAAGATAGGTATGCAACAACCAGTCAAAAACTATATTCCAATGCACTATATGGCAGAAGCTCCGGTGACAGATTATCAGTTTGCCTTTTGCTACCCTTGGATAAAATTACACCTATCCTCGAATCACAAAATAGCATGCAAGCACAGCAGAGGAACCTCAAAAGGTAAAAATAATAGATACAGATAATATAAAAGACAAGGTAATTTGATAAGATTCAAAGATGGATCAAAACCAATTACAACATAAATAAAACCGTTAGAAGAAGGAATCAAAGCTCATCCTCCATCCTCAAGTACTCTCCGACATCGGCCTGGTGCAGAACAACAATACCGTTGGGATCCAGCTTCCTGCAATCCTGCGTGGACTTGGCGGCGACGCCGAAGCCGAGCGGCACATCGGCCATGGAAAAGACGACGACGCCGTCTCCGGCGGAGATGTTGTCGGTGATTCTGCCGAGGGCGCTCTTGAGGACGTGGTTGCCGTACAAGAAGGACATCTCGGACTGGGGCTTGAGCCAGACCTTGTGCTTGGCGTTGGCGGCGAGGAGGTTGAGGGCCTGCACGGTGAGGTGGAAGCTGCCGCCGTGGGTGTACTTCCCGATGCAGGTGCCGAGGGAGGCCAGGTTGGGGCGCGCAACGTTGGTGGCGCGCTTCACGAGGGACTCGCTCGCGTAGAACACCCTGTTCTTGTGGAGGCGGAAGCAGTAGCGCCCAGGGTTCGAATCGGGACCCTCATGAGAAGGGTTCTCCACGATGTTCTTCAGGTTGTTTCCCACGAATTTGAACAGCTTCTCGAACACTGCGCTCGTTTCCTTCTCGTCCAACGGTCTCATGCTTCTTCTTCCTCTTCCTCTTCCTCTTTCTCTCCCAATAGGGTTTTACACTGTAATCAGATTAGGGTTTATCGCCTTTGTTTTTTTTCAGATGAAAAGGAGACCCAAAAACCCACTCAAGACTAACAGATACGGGCCTAGTGAATGTAAGCCCACTTCCAAACAATTCGGGCTATTACTAACAGCTCCCCCTTCTATTTTGTAGATATACACCCACTCTTCTTTTTCTTCTTTTTTTTAACCAGTATTTTAACTTGTGAACAGATTAAATATTTATTAATTTTTTTATAATAATTATATATACAAATAATATTATATTAAAAATTTGTATAAATAAATATTTTTTAAAATATAAATTATATTTTAGATTTATAATAAATAATTTATATTATAGTGTAATATTATTTTACTTATTGATAATTTTTTTATTAGAATAAAATTTAATTCATAAATAATTATAATTAATAAAAATTAAATTATATAAGAAATTAAAAAACCTTTAAAAAAAATTAGTAAAAAAAATCTAAAAACATTTTCACTTAAGATAAAAGTTTGTGTTTAATATATAAGAATTTGTTTTTTTTTCTCACACTATTCTCATATTTATACCGTCCTTGTATATTTGAGGATTGAATTGAATTGTTTTCAAGGGGAGAAAAATAAAAATATTTTATTTAATTATTTTATTTTTCTTAATTTATCATTTAACTAGTATTTAAGATAATTCTTTATTTTCTATAACTAAATCAAATTTTTTAAGTTTGTTACTCTTCGAGATTAGTGACCTTTGACCACAAAACTCTAACATATCAGGTGATAATATCTTCTGATTGAACATTGTATTAAATCATGTTGGCTCGCAACATGCACTATTCATAATTGCTTTGACAGCTTCTGTCATTTATCTTATCTTATGGGCATCAAACTAACTCGAATTTGTAAAATGAGTAGATAAATAAAAGCAATGCACCGAAAACCAAATAGCACAATGAATAAAATTCAAGTATTACCTCTAAAAGACCAAGTCTAAAACCATGTGGCCTTCCTTCGATAGGACCTTCCCTTAGAGTGACTATATAGTTATTCCTATGTCTCTTTCCGATTCAGATTCAAACTCTCTTATAAGTTTGTTATAATTGCTTAAATTGGTTATTGACACGAGAAAAATATCATAACAAAAGCTTCATTAGTTTCTTCATATGTTACATTGTGGGTGGCTATTTTTGGAACAAGCAACCAACCAATACATAAAGTTATTGCTCGCCTTTGCTTTTTCTGAGGTGGAGGATTCAGTGTGTGTTTACTTGCACTTTCTGTCAACTTGGACGTGATTTGGAGAAGCAACTATTAATTAATTTTGGTACATTATGACGTGAAAATGTTATAAAACGTGGATTACAAACGTAGTACCAAACAAGCTCTCAAAAGTAAGTGCTATATGCAAAACCCCATATATTAATGTCTTGTAAATCAAGATTGTTTGATCCTTGTGAGTCATTATTACTTGAAGAATTGGAAATGTTATTAGCAATGCGAGGTGTTAGGAACAAAAGTCCCACATCATGTTGTTTTACGTTGGGATCTAGAGAAATAGTTCATAATTTTCCTATTCTTTAATTTAAGAAGAAATGAAAGGTATAAAAATTAATTTATCTTTATATATTTTAGTTGTATTTAAAATATTTTATTTTTTACAATCTTTTAAATATTTGAAGAGAATTCAAATTAAACTAAGAGGAGAGTAGGTTGCTTCACAATTCAACCATACTATTTAATCAAAGTTCAACAAGAAGATTGAGAGCGATCAGCGAAACCAAAAAAAGAAAAGAAAAAAAAAAGAAGAATTAAAGCATATCATATTCATTTATCATTATCTATCTATTCTAGTATCTAATCTCCCTCAAAACATGAAATCATCTCTGGCCACAGAAACAACGTAATTAATTACGAAAGAAATTAAAAAGCATAGGGTTGTCGTGAAGTATACATTACGTAACCATAACTTAATACATGATTAAAGGAATAGCTTCAACACCTATACACCAGGAGCCTCACAAACATGAAACAAGAAGTACCGAACAGCGACAAAAGCATATTGTAAGTTTTACTAAGAAAAAAAAAAAAAAAAAGAAACTAAAAATCAAATCCACCAAAGGCATCATCAAAAGCAACATCAGATATGATGTCCCCAATCAAAAGCCCACCCAACGCTCCTCCGAGCAACCCCGCTCCCAATCCCATTCCAAATTTGTTCTTCGCCGGAGCACGTGGAGGAGGAGGGTACCCGTATCCGTAACCCGCTTGGGCCGGGTACCCATAACCCGCCTGGGCCGGGTAGGCGTGGGCCGGTTGCGGCGCGTATGCGTAACCCGCTTGAGCCGGCGGCGGAGGATACCCATATCCACCCGCATATTGCGGCTGAGGGTACACGATGGGATACGGAGCAGAGGTGGACCCCACCACCGGAGCAGGATAAGCCGTGACCGGTTCCACCTTAGTGACCGCCGCCGCCGGCGATGACGTTGACGTTGACGTTGACGCTGACGCTGACGCTTTGGCCGGAGCGGCGAATTTATCGGCGAATTTGTAGGAGAAATTGAAGGCTCCCTGAGGCTTCCCGGAGGGTTTTCTGACCTGGTAACTCACGTGCTGAAAGGATTTTCCGTCGCCGGCTTGGTCGAGGAGTTCCCGGAGCGGCACGTGGACTTGCCCGATGTCCTTGTCGGCGGCGAGGGTGCGCTCGCAGTGGAGATTGATTTCGAGGGATAAGCGGTTCTGGCGCGCGAGCGATTCGCTGAAGGTGAACTTGACTGGAAAATTCCAGGTGGGGTTGGTACCGGCGTTCCGGTCAACGGGGGTCTTGATCTTGTGGTGGCCGGAGAGCGAAACGACGGCGTAGACGTCCATCTTGGAGAAGAGATTGAGATCCTTGAGATCCTTGGCCGAGTCGAGGATGAGTTCGAGCGTTCTGTATTCCATGGTTAATTGCCTTTGAAAATGAAATATGCGTGCCTTTTATTTATCTTTTTTCAACAACTGCCCCAAGTTGACGTCAACGTTCTTTAACTTTTAGTTCCACCCGGAGAATGCCAATTCCCGAGGATTCTTCTTCACGCCTTCTTATTTCTTATTACTTAATACTACTACTATCAATATTCAATACAGCCGCCTTTCCATTTTACTTTTATTTTTCATTTTCCGAATATTTCTCGGGTAGTTATGCCGTACCAGATCTTTCGTCAAAAATAAAGAAAAAATAGAAATCTATTTTGTTTTAATTAACTAAAGAGTAACAAAAAAAACAACAGAATGAATAAAGGTCACTCTTATAAATATTTTTAATTTTTTTTTTCTTCACTTTTTAATTATATAATGTGTCTTGTATATGTTAAAGTAATAACTTATTAACAAATTTGCTTATTTGTATATTAACTAACGACAATATTTTATTGATTTTTTAATATTTTTATTAATAAATTATCAATTCCTATATATTAAATTCAAATGAATGGAAATATCTTAAACAAAAATTTCAATAGAGAATTTTTATGATTTTTTAAAATCTTTTTATCTAATTCAATTTTTAGTTATTATATATTTAAAATATTATTTATTTATTTATTTAAAAATATTTATTTATATAAATTTTAAATATAAATTATATATCTTTTTCACTAATAAAAAATATATAATATTATGTATTTAAACACAATATTTTAGTATGTACATTACACAAACTAAAATATACTCATATCAAATGTTAAATATATGTCAAAATTTGAGTATATGGAATTTAAAGGATAATTATTTATATAACAAATAATTATTATTATTATCTTGTACATTCCACATATTATAATACTAGATTGAATAATTATCTTCATCAAAAACATTTTCAAGTGTCATTCTTCTAAAAGTGTTTTTATTTTTTTCAAAAATATTTTATAATTTTCATAATTAATGCATTTTTTAATTTTTTTAAAATTATGTTTCAATATCTATACTAATATATAAAGAGAATACTCTTTTTTTGTAACTAACTTGATCTCCACTTTTCTTGACCATTATACCTTTTTATTTTAAAAAATTTATACTAATATATAAAAGGAATACTCTTTTATAACCACCTTGATCTCCACTTTTCTTGATCATTATACCTTTTTATTTTAAAAAATTATACTAATATATAAAGGAGATACTTTTTTTGTAACCACCTTGGTCTCCACTTTTCTTGACCATTATACCCTTTTATTTTAAAAAATTATAAAAAATTTTTTATCAAATTTAAGAACTTGAAACTAATGAATCTATACTTCTATGCTAATATATAAATCGGATATCACTTTTAATAACTACTTTTGATTTCCATTTTTACATTAATCATTTTATTCTTTATTTATTTTTTAATAACTATCTTTTTTATGAGTAACTTCTTATTTTTTTATTTTTTATTCTTTTAATACAATGCAGGCACGGAGTGCCTTTTTCCTGCTAGTCTTTATAAAAGAAATTAATTATTAATTAAAAAATTAAGAATATCTATAAGATATTAATATATTTAAATATCTTATTTACAAAAATTATATATTATTTATTGTTTTATATATTTTAAAACTACATACACTTGAAACTAATTAAGAAGTCAGACAGTAACCCTTAAGAAGAAGTAACACAGTAAACGTATGGTTCCGAAACTTCCATGGTTCATTAAGTTCCAAAGTCGTGTGTCATTTATAAGCGTCACTGTGGAAGAGCCCCACGCGGCTCACGAATTTTCTCATTTTTATTTTCAAATTGCATACTTGCGGTTGCGGGTTGAAGACTAAGCATGAAGCGTGTATGTATATACAAAATGAGATAGTCATTTATCTTAAGAATAAATCTCTCAATTATTTTATTTAATAATTCATATTTTATATTAATTTTTTAATAATTTAATTATTAAATTTAAAAAATTAAATTTATAATTTTTAAAAAATTTATAAATCATTTAATATTTTATTTTATTATTTTATATTATTATATAAAATATTTTTATAATTATTTATTAATATTAATTAATAAAAGAAAGTATCA